TTTACTAAAATAAATTATAAAGTTCCACCTAACAACCTCGTGAGGCACAGAAGAATTAACCATTTACACTTAATGCCGAGGTTGCAAGAAGAGAGAAGCTGGAGAATCTTGTTCCGAGTTTTTTTCCGTTGCTGTACCTATGTACCTTCCCACACACACTCGCTCTCTCTGGGTCCGCCTCCCGTCCACAAGCATCCATCATGCTTCCGTGAGAAGCAGAGTTATAATATATAAATAACTTTTTATGTTGTTGAAGCTATGCAACACTTCTGAGACGGCGTCTTATGTCAATGTTTTAGATAATAATTATTGGGTTCTTTCTCGGCCATGCTGTGTCGTGGACTCTTTCAAGCGGATAGGTATGTTTATTTCTTAGCTCCTTCCCCTGTGTAGTCTATGTCCATGTCTTCAACCCTGTCGTACTGACGAGCCTGGGGGTTGGTAAGACTTCGATGATTCGTCTACGACACCGGGCGAAACGGATCATCTGTGCTGTGGAGTGTATGCATTTCCCCAATGTTTGTTTTTCTTTGTTTCTAATTGGACTGTACTGGTGTTCATTGAACTTCGAGGGTAACCCGAGTTCAATGAAATACCAGTTCCGTCTTACGGGTCATATCTTGTTTCTCGCATTCCTATATCCTTCGCTCACTTTTTTCTATGAGGCGGTTGCCTCCGACACCAGTGGTGTTTTTTTCGGGACCAGTGGTCCAACACGCGGCCAGTGGTCGTTTTTTATTACCTATATCCATCTCGTCTAGATTGCAATTTTGTCGATTGACGTTCCTCATACCTCTATGCTCACAAACTGTTTTTATTGTCAACTCCGCATTTGTTCCAAGTTACTAAAGCTATTACGAACATTCCCTAACTTTCAGATAACACAGATTTGTTGCTAGTTTATAGACATGTTTAAATTTTATACAGCTATACACATAATTTGCATTTAAGATTATTTCACATTTGCTATCCTTGTTATTAACTAGTAGGCCCTGCGCGTTTTTCCCTTTTTTTGTTTTCTCTTTTTTATTCTTTTTTTAACATGTCCCACATTTTTAACACATCAGTATTTACACACATGAGGGCTATGCCTCTCAAAAAAGAGGGCCATACCTCTTCAAAAAAAATAGGGACTAGCGCTGACGGGGTTATACAAGTCAAAAATGGCAAGAGGGGTCATTTTTTGGCGCCTCCAGCGCTAGTATTCTTGCAGGGAGAGCCACCCCCTGGGCAGCAGCCCTGCCAAACCTTCGGGAAGACTCCTCTCTGCGTATGGGTTTGACCGCTCATGCGCTTAGATCTTAGGTCAAAAAATGCGAAAACTAGCGCCACAAATTATTTCTCCAGTTCCAGGTTCTACAAGGTAAGGGGTGGGGCCAACCACTTTCAAACTTAAAGACTTTGGAAATGATAACAAGGGCTGCAAATGTAAAAGGAAATGTAGGACATGTGATATAACTAATACAAATAATTACGTTGTATCCAACGTTACCAGTTTATATATCAACACATATAAAGAAGCAGATGCAGATTGTAACGCTAAAAATGTGGTGTACTGTTTGACATGCAATGGCTGCGGAATACAATATGTTGGAATGACAGTAAGAAAATTGAAAGAAAGAATTGGCGAACATCTTTCCAATATTTCTTCACACAAAGTACACACACCATTATATAATCACTTCTATAAATGCGATAAGGGCATAACGGTACAAGTTCTAGACTGTATGAAGTCTAACGATAAAACTACTTTAGCAGAAAAAGAACTTTTTTGGATCAAACTTCTTATGACACCATACCCCTTTGGATTAAATGATAACATAAAGGGATATGGAAACTTAACAAATATAGATAATCCTCTTATGTACAAGGGCAATCATCCCTTCTTCTCTCTTAAAATTACAAAACAAAGGATAAATAGAGGAAAAAGAAACAGTAAAAAGAATAAAGTAAACACATACGATAATATTATAGCAGAGATAACAAGTAATAGCGAAACACTCAAACCTATCCAGTACTACAGAATGCTCAAGTGTCTTCGTAAAGAAGAAATTAACAAGCTAATTGAACTTTCCACGTCTGCAGGTTTCCTGCAGAGAGTGAATAATAAGACCAGGTATTTAATATTTTGCCTGCTAGCTCACTTTCACTTTAACACTACCACAAAACAAACCGCCAGAAAGGTCTTTCATAACATAGAGGTCAGTTTCAAGAGCAGAGTATTTAATGAAATACCCTTTAACAAGATCTTTAATTCACGTACTGTCAGAGAGATACTGCTCAGCGATAATAGGAGGAGTAGTGAATTCACCCCAATCAGAATTATTTATAAGTACAACAACACGATGGCTAGCAAAATTTGCAATTACAACAAAGTGTTGAAAGATCTCGACAACGAAAAATTAAAGCACATACTTAACAATGGTTGTATATGTACTACAAATACAGTACAAGAATTTCTCGATAAAAATTATGAACACGTTATCACAGGCAATGTAAATCTTATAAAAGAAGAGAGTTTTAGAAGATTGCTTAGTAAAGGAACCAAATACAGATCAGACACAGGTATAACAAGACAAGAAGTTAAGATGGTGTTTGAAGATACACTCAACAAGGTCATGAATTATTTTAAATGTAAATACAAAGCTAGCAATCACAAGATAAATCTATTACAGAAGCATTTTCGTTCATGTTACCATGACAAAGTTAAACCTCTACTGACAAAGGTTAATATTGAAAATATAGGAGAACACATACCTTATAGCTTAATCAAACAATATCAAGAAAAATATGTGTTCTGTCCTCTAGACAAAGCAAATAATAACTATGGCATTATCTGCAAGAAGTTCTACCTTTTGAACATAATGCATGAAATGGGCATTTCTTATGATGCTACCAACCACACATTTGTTTATGGAAATAGTAATAACACATATGAATTAATGCCTCATACAAACAAGTATTCTTTAATATTGAAGCACAAATTCCTCTGTGCAAAGAATAATATCAATATATCTGTTGATGCAGAAATACCTACTATATATGCCTTACCAAAGCTACACAAGAATCCAGTCAAATTTAGATACATCACAGGTGCTCATAGTAGCAGTGTTAAGCCCTTGGCCCAGGAACTACGCATAGTCTTCACACATCTCAAAAATCACTTTATTAACTACGCCAAAGTAATACAGCATCGCAACAGGACTATCAAGACATACTGGTCCATTAGTAATATTAATATAAGTCAAGAACTTCACAACATCCCATACGACAATCTTAAAATCTACACTGCGGATTTCACGGACATGTTCACAAATTTGGAACATGATCTCATTATAAAGAAAATGCAAGAATTGCTTAACATTTGCTTCAAAAATGCCAACAGATCTTTTATTGCCACTAATGGTTACCATGTTTTCTATACAGATGGGAAAGAAATCAAGAACAACTACAGATATTACAAATCCAGCGATTTAGTATACTTTATTGACTATCTTTTACGTAACAGCTTTTGTCTTTTTGCTAATAATACGTTCAAACAGACTAAAGGTGTCCCACAAGGTGGCAATTTCAGTCCACTTTTGGCAGATTTAACGCTCTCTGTCATGGAGTATTACTATGCTAAATCCAAAAAGTTTGATAACAGTAAGCTGTTCATTCCATATAGATATATGGACGATTTGCTTGTTGTACATAACCAAACTGACGGTGACGTGGATGAACAACTTTATCAAGTTTATCGAAATACCCTTGAATTGAAAAAAACTCATAATAGTGAATATTCCAGCAATTATTTAGATTTGACAATCAATATTTCTAATGGTAAAGTTAATACTAAGTTGTATAATAAAACGGACGATTTTAGCTTCAATGTAATCAGATTTCCATATAGTGACACAAACATTTCCCTTATCAACAAAGCCTCTGTTATATATACGGAAACGTTGAGGTTAGCAAACACTTGTACGTTCTTCGATGTATTCGTAAGCAAAAATAAAATAACGGATATGGTCACCACTCTGTCAAAAAATGGCTACGAAGAAGGTTTTATTATTACTAGCATTGTTAAATGTATTTACAAAAATAAATTTATAAGTTACAAATACTCTATTGCAAATAACTATAAAAAGATAAGTAGGCTGGTTAAAAGTATTCTCATTAGCAACGATGTTCAACTCTAACTCTCATTTTATCGCTACAATTTTTATTCACCGTTGTAGTCAGCTCGACGGTGTCTTTTACTCAACATTCCCTTAATTGGTTGCCCATCTACTCCATTCCAATTTTCTTCCTCTTACACGTATTTAGTACTCAGAACTTTATAACATTCTCTCATTTTTACTGTACAATTCCTTCTCATTTTTATTGCATGAATTTTACACGTGAGCTTTTTACATGTTTTCTCTTTTTGTCCTATTTCTTGCTCCTTCCCCTGTGTAGTCTATGTCCATGTCTTCAACCCTGTCGTACTGACGAGCCTGGGGGGTTGGTAAGACTTCGATGATTCGTCTACGACACCGGGCGAAACGGATCATCTGTGCTGTGGAGTGTATGCATTTCCCCAATGTTTGTTTTCTTGTTTCTAATTGCTTCATAGCACCGCACTCGGAGAGTTTCTATCCCACTGGTAGGTCCACAAAGTGCAATCACTCGCAACTATCGTACCAGTCCCAAGAAAGTGTGACCAAGTACAGCTTGTAGTAATAAAAGGTACGACGGGGTACGACAGATCAGCGAAGGTGACCTGCTCATTTGCACCTCTAGCCTCTAACTGGTCATTGGAATCCTTCTGAGCTCCATCGCATCGGCTGCTTCTCACTTGACCTATTTCGACCTTTTAGGCCTTCCGCTATTTTCTTCATCATTTTCGTGGCTCGCCGTTGCCAGGCTAACCTTTTCAGTTCTCTGACGTCAAGTGATAAGGCCGTAATTAAAGCTGTCTTTTTTAGTGCTGAAAACGCTTTTTGACGAGGTGCTAATGGCATTTCCGCGCTAAAGATATGGCCTTTGTGAATATATGCGGACAAAAAACCGTGATAACACTTTGCGAGGTTCGCGCCAGCGGCGAAATGCTTCTTCAGGGTGAGTTTACTTCTCTGGTTTGTCATTTTTTTTACTTCTACCTGAGTGTTTTCAAACAATCCATATTCCTTATGTTATAGTTGTGGTTCTCCTCGTTCTTGGTGTGAGTCTGAGGTTTGTTGAGTAACGCTAGATGTGGTTTCAGTACTCTTTTCTTTGAGAAGTGATCTTCAGCAATGCAGTTCTTCCCGACATCGGTGTCGCAAACTATTCATGCTCACCTGCTTTGATGAGGAAAAGCCGAGATGTACCGACCAATGTGAACTCCGTTCGTCCAGCCGATATCAAGGTCGTCATGGCCCTGGGCGACTCGCTTACGGTAAGCTCACAAATTCAAGTAAATAGGAGTAATTACCCCTTCGTGGAACTCTTGCCCCGTGAAATTCTTTGAACCAATTCACCAACCAGCCAAAAGAATATCCACCGGTATCTTTAATGCTGGACTAAGGCAAGCATACAATAATAGGAAAGGTTCATATGAAGCCTGTAACGAGCTCGCCTCACATTACCCTAAGCCCTCACTTTTTCTCTTTATGAGTTCTTCAGTACTTGCTCGGCACTCTTCTCCCTGACATCCCCTTTCTCTGTTACTTTCTTTCTTTTCTAGACAGTTGAACTACTACTCTTTCATGGAAGCCACCGCCTTTTCTATTTAGGCCCTCAACTGCACCATTCTACAAATAATAAAACCTCCCATAGAACACTACACGTGGGTTGTTTGAGCGGAGACTCTTGGAGTGCTGCTTTCACACTGGTAGATCACGCCTTTCTGGTTAGTAGATAGGAGCGTCGCACTATTAGGGACACTGGTCTGATTGGCTCCACCCGTATGATGAGCGTGGAATGAGCAAAGTGTTCTACGCTTTTACCGATTCTACTGCTGCCTACTTGAGACCCTTTCCGTCTTTCTGCTGCTGGTTGTCCCCATATAACCTACGCCAGGTGCCCCTTATTCTTTATTTTCCTACATCTTGGACATGATCTTGAGCATACCGCATCTACAGAATCAGTCCGACGATGGACCGTTCTGCTACAGTGGTTGGGGAGTAGGTTCCCGCCGGGGCTTAGGCTCTCTTTTTCTGCATGGTTACTGATTATGGTTAGGTCTGCAACAACATACATTTCAAAGGGTTTTTGTTTCCTTTGAGCGTGTATTACACACTTACCCACATGAATTCAAATTTGCTCTCAAATTTATGCAATTCAGGATGACAAGAAACAGTATTTTCGGCAATTCCGTGTGTTATATTGTGCCTCACGAGTTTTTTAGGTGGAACTATTTATTTGACAGCC